ATTCCTGCTCTCTGGAAACTGATCCTTTCAGAGCTGATCCTATAGGCTCTCTAGGCCTCAATTTCCCCTTTGTGCGTGTGTGGGGCAGGGGTCTCCTTCTAGTAACAAGGAAGAGGGAGAGAAAGAGAAGGGAGTGGCTCCCTTCCCCACCCCCACCCTCGGGGCTAAGGTCCCAGCCGGGTCTTCAGGGAAGCCCACCTCCCGCCAAGCAAGGTCCCACGGGCAGAAATGGGGCTCGGCCCCTTTAAATCCCGCGCGGGAACGCCCGGGGCCGGGCCGCACCGGTCCTGGATCTGCAGCTGGGAATTGCCGGTCTCCGCGTGTCCTCCCGGCGCTTCCCCTCGCTGTACCCCACCTCGCGGTGCCCCCAGCCCCGCGTGCAGGCTCCTTGCGCCAGGGCTTGAGGGCGCCGCGGCCGTGGGGAGAATGAGCCGCATCTATCACGACAGCGCCCTCCGGAGCAAGGCGGTTCAGAGCGCTCGGCTGCCCGGGGCCTGGGACCCCGCCGCCCACCAGGGGTAGGCTCCGCCCGCGTCTCCCCACCGCTTCCCGGGCCCGGTCTCCGTTGGCTCCCGAGGCTCAGCTTTGAATCCGGGCTCCCTGGTTGGCAGGGGGAGGGGGTGCGCTAGCGGGGTCGGGTGCGGGTGGGAGGAAGGGCGGGGCTCGCCAAAGACCTCCCTGGCCTCCAGACCGCTTCTCCCTGCGCTCCCCTCGGAGCGCACCCCCTTGAGACACTGATCGGCGTGAAGCTCACCGAGGGTCGGTTCCGACTCCCAAGCAGGGCTCAAAAGGCGGTGCTTACTTCACGTCAGCCTTTGTCTCAACCCCACCCCGGTGACTCTAAGCTTCACCCCGCTGCCTTGCCTCCAGGCTTTTGCACAGGCTGCACCTCCCTCCGGAAGGGACAGTGTCCTGCTGGACGGCAACAGCGGGTGGGAGTTGGCTTGGCAGGGCCGCGGGAGGGGCAGGGCCTGTCTGGAGGGCGTGTTAGATCCGGAGGGCCAGGCCCTGCCATCACGGACGCCGAGGTCATGAGAACGAATGGACGATTCCATTTGCAATTACAAACACTAAAGAATGAAGGGCGCAAGGGGCGGGGGGCGGTAGGGGCAAGTAAAGTCCAGGAAGTTTTCACTTTTCATCCCCATTCCTTCAGCTGCCCCCACCCCCTCCCATTTCCGTGGTTCCAGAAAAGAAAGTTCCCAGGTTCTGCTTTTATGAAAACTAGAATTGGGAAGCAGGGGTCCAGTTCCTCTCAGTGAGGGACCCTGCGATCTTGGGCTCGTCATGAAACTTCTGAGTCTGGGTTTCTCCACTTCTAAAGTGGATACGAATGAGAACAGGAATATGAAAGTGCTTTAAAACAGGTACAAAGGGAAGATACTTTATAGCAGCTTAGAGCCCGCCCCCCCCCCCCACCAAAATTTGGGGAACAAAAAAAAAAAAAACACCGGTCAGAATGGCCATCATCAAAAAATCTACAAACAATAAATGCTGGAGAGGGTGTGGAGAAAAGGGAACCCTCTTGCACTGTTGGTGGGAATGTAAATTGATACAGCCACTATGGAGAACAGTAAGGAGGTTCCTTGAAAAACTAAAAAAGAATTACCATATGACCCAGCAATCCCACTACTGGGCATATACCCGGAGAAAACCATAATTCTAAAAGAGTCATGGGGCTTCCCTGGTGGCGCAGTGGTTAAGAATCCACCTGCCAATGCAGGGGACACAGGTTTGAGCCCTGGTCCGGGAAGATCCCACATGCCGCGGAGCAACTAAGCCGGTGCGCCACAGCTACTGAGCCTGTGCTCTAGAGCCTCCGAGCCACAACTACTGAGCCCGCGTGCCACAACTACTGAAGCCCGCACACCTAGAGCCCATGCTCTGCAACAAGAGAAGCCACCACAATGAGAAGCTGGCGTACCACAACAAAGAGTAGCCCCTGCCCCCTGCAACTAGAGAAAGCCTGCATGTAGCAACAAAGACCCAACACAGCCAAAAATAAATAAATTAAAAAAATAATTTTTAAAAAAGAGTCATGTACCACAATGTTCATTGTAGCACTATTTACAATAGCCAGGTCATGGAAGCAACCTAAGTGTCCATCAACAGATGAATGGATAAAGAAGATGTGGCACATATATACAATGGAATATTACTCAGCCATAAAAAGAAACGAAATTGAGTTATTTGTAGTGAGGTGGATGGACCCAGAGTCTGTCATACAGAGTGAAGTAAGTCAGAAAGAGAAAAACAAATACTGTATGCTAACACATATATATGGACCCCCCCCCCCAAAAAAAAGGTTCTGATGAACCTAGGGGCAGGACAGGAATAAAGACACAGATGTAGAGAATGGACTTGAGGACACGGGGAGGGGGAAGGGTAAGCTGGGACAAAGTGAGAGAGTAGCATTGACATAAATACACTACCAAATGTATAACAGATAGCTAGTGGGAAGCAGCTGGATAGCACAGGGAGATCAGCTTCGTGCTTTGAGACCACCTAGAGGCGTGAGATAAGGAGGGTGGGAGGGAGACGCAAGAGGGAGGGGATATGGGGATATATGTATGCACATAGCTGATTCACTTTGTTATACAGCAGGAACACAACGTTGTAAAGCAATTATACTCCAATAAAGATATTAAAAAAAAAGTAAAGTCCTTTATATTTAGTAAACACTTAATAGTTTACAAAGCGCCTTCATATTCATGATCATATGTTATTGTCATAGAAGCAGAGTGAGGTGGCTATTACTCTCCCATTTGGTGGATAAGAAGACTGAGACTCTGGTTACAGTAACCCCCTGCAGGAGGGGCCATAGCTCAGTCTTGCAGCCTGTCAATGTTCCTTCCTACCCTCCGGATGGTGCCCCAGCCTTTGGGACCCTCAGAGAAGTGGGGGCCCAGTGTGGGAGCCCAGAGAAAGGGGCTGCATCATACTGGGCCTGCCTGGGACTTGCTTCTGTCCTGGTGCAGACCCTGACCTGGGCCACTGCACTTGTGGTTCTTGCCTGAGGACTGACAGAACCAGTTGAGCCCTCATTCTCTCTCATCCTTAGGGGGAATGGCGTCCTGCTGGAAGGAGAACTGGTCGATGTATCTCGGCACAGCATCTTGGATGACCATGGCAGGAAGGTGAGGATGTTTCCCTGGGGGCACCCGCAGGGCACTGGCTTCAGGGTCCTCACCCACCAAAGCATCTCTCTGCTTGGCTCTGCCAGTGCCAAGACTTGGGGTCCAGCTCTTTCCTTGAGGGGCTCACAGGGCAGGTGGGGGGGTGTTGGTTGGGAGATTAGCAGCCAAAAGGGGCGACAGATGGAAGAGGTCAGTTAGGGCTGTGCTGGGTTTGATGGGAGGGACTGGGTTCTTGCTGAGAGGACAGACCAGGCCCTAAACCCAAGTGGTGTGTTTGGGGCCAGGACTGGGAGGGCTGAGAGCAGGAAAGGGTGAGGTGAGTGGTTCAGGACTCAGGCTGTGGGTTCTGAGTGGGCTGGAAGGCCTGCCTTCTGAAGAGGTCCTGTCACCTTCTGATGGAACAAATTTAGAGTGTTGGGAAGCTTGCTGGGTAGGCAGGATGAGTGGCTCTTTATTCTGGGGCTAAAGGTCCAACTCCTGTCCTCTGGCCTTGGTGGTTCCCACTGCCTCCGGACCTGATGGACAAGGTCAGAGTGAAGTTATCTGCCTAAGTGGGTGCAAGGTCAACAGTGACCTTCCCCTTTAGGGGTACCAGCTCTGTAGCTGGGAGGTCGAAGTCGTGTGTACTTTGAATTGTTTAAAATTGAATTACTTTAAATGCACTGTTGGAGTTTGCTGTTAGAAGGTGCCTTGAAGTGACTGCATTTGCAGAGTGGTGAATATCTTAGCATGGGTTTAGCATCTTTTTTTTTTCTTTTCTTTTTGGCTGAACTGCGAGGCTTGAAGGATCTTTTTTTTTTTTTAAAGATAATTTTGGGGGTAGGAGTTTATTAATTAATTAATTTATTTTTGTTGTGTTGGGTCTTCGTTTCTGTGTGAGGGCTTTTCTCCAGTTGCTGCTAGCGGGGCCACTCTTCATCGCGGTGCGCGGGCCTCTCACTGTCACGGCCTCTCTTGTTGCGGAGCACAGGCTCCAGACGCGCAGGCTCAGTAGTTGTGGCTCACAGGCCCAGTTGCTCCGCGGCATGTGGGATCCTCCCAGACCAGGGCTTGAACCCGTGTCCCCTGCATGGGCAGGCGGATTCTCAACCACTGTGCCACCAGGGAAGCCCTTGAAGGATCTTAATTCCCTGACCAGGGATTGAACCCTGGCTCCCTGCTGTAGAAGCGCGGAGTCCTAACCATGGGACTGCCAGGGAATTCCCTTGCACATCTTTTAATATCACCGTGTGGCTGGGTGTTTTGGAATGTTGGATTTTTATAAAGCAGGTCACTGGTGTGGACCTGGACCTCCACGTGTGTAGGGGTGTGAGAGCGTTGAGGTGGGAGGGGGGTTGCTGAGTTCTGGGCCTTTGTTTCCAACCTGAGTGTCAAGTCCACGTTGCCCGGGGCTTCGGTTCCCATGTCCATGCCCTTCTCCTCTTGTTCTCTCAGCCTCCTGGGGTTATGCCCTTTATCACCTGCCCATCTCAGATGTCCATGGACACACCTGGCATTCTCCATTCTGTACTAGCCAGTGTTTCTTTCCTGAGTTTCTTCCCCCCCCCCAAATAACCCCACCCAGATGTGCTGACCACCTTATCTCCTTGATCTATAGAACCCAGTTCATTAAATCCCTTCTTGAGGCAGGCCAGAGGCCTGGGGCTACACACAGCTGTTTTTTCACCCACACCCCATGTGAACAGCCTCCGGCTCAGCACTAGTTTCAGGTCAAGAGATGCTTTGCTGCACCCTCTCCTCCTTAGCATGCAGGTCAGCAGGCTGAGCACAGCAGTCTGGAGCCCTAGCCAGCCTGCCCAGGAGAGCCCAGCAGTAACTGAGTGGAGCTGGCCTGCCTCGGCTATCCTCCACAGGCAGGGTGTTCAGCCCCTCTCCAAACTTGCCTTCTCCAGCTCCTTCTTTCCTAATGATAGTGCACTAGACGCCCCCGACCACCAGCCTGCAAACCTCCACTGTCTCCCCTCCCCCCTCCCCCAGGTGAGTAATGCCTAGTCCTGCAGGCCTCCTACCTTGACCATTTTCCCCTCCCCTCCCTTCCTCTTTCCATGTCTGCTCACCTCACATGGGCCCTCAGGAACTCAGCCTGTCCCAACTAAACCTTGCACCCCTTCTCCTGCCTCCTGGCTGCACCCAGCGCCCATTCCTGCCCTGCTGCCAGCTTGTCTCCTGAAAGACACCTCTCAGGGTCTCGCCGCTGTCCAAAAACCTTTCAGGATTCCTTCTAGTCTACCACATAAAATGCAAACTCCAAATGCCAACTCAAGGCTGATCCCCACTTGCTTCCCCAGCCTGGACTCCCATGAGACCTCTCAGGGTCCTGCATTGCTCAAACATCCACACAGGACCTTGACTTTTATTTTATGTACTTGTCCAGGCTCTTAATATTCTTCCTACACCCTGGTCCCACAGTTGCAGGTTTCTCCCCACTCTGAGACCTTGCCTTCTCTGTTTCTCCCAGGAAGTGGTTTCCTTTTCTTTAATCTCCTGTTTTGTGTGTGTGTGTGTGTGTGTGTGTTTTATTATAATATTTATTTATTTAAATTTTTATTGATGTATAGTTGATCTACAGTGTCGTCAGCCTCCTGTTTTGATTAGGACAGCTGGCGAAGAGCATTTACAGCACATTTCATGCTTTATACTGTGCTTGCTCCCTGAACCCTTACAACGTGCCTGAAAGTAGACAGCACGTTGTCTCCAGGCAACAGGGGAAACTGAGGCTAGCGGTGATTTGCTCCAGGACTCACATCTGTTGGAAGAGGCACAGTGGCTGTCCTCACTCAGAACTCCATTTCAGTGCCCTCTCCATGGCATCTTGGCTGCTTCTGCTTCTGCTTCATGGTATTTGGGCTCCTTGGTGCTCGGATTATGGTTTTCTGTATATTCTTTCTGTCTCTCACATGTGGAGGCCTTGAGGTCAGGCTCTGAGCCTGCCCTCTCATGGACGTCTAGCCGTGGTTCATTATGTGTGGCAAGTGCTCTACTAAACACATGAATGAATGAATATTGGGAGTGGAAGCCTGTGGCCAGCTTGAATATCTTTTGGAGGTGGGGTGGGATTCTGGGGTAGAGAGTGAGGTTGGGGGGGCTGCAACCGGAGCACGTGGGAAGTCTGTGTTGTGTTGGAGGCTGAAGGAAATGAAGCAGCCCCTCACTGTCTCTCTGCTTGGCCCCAGGAGCGCTACTATGTGCTGTATATCCGGCCTAGTCACATCCATTGCCGTAAGTTCGACCCCAAGGGAAATGAAATCGAGCCCAACTTCAGCGCCACCAGGAAGGTGAACACAGGCTTCCTCATGTCATCCTATAGTAGGTACCCTTCACCCTTTCTCCCTCAGAGCCTTCATACACTGTGGTCTTCCTTTGTCTCCAGAGGTCTCTTGGTCCCTAGAAAGTGTCTTCTCAGCATGGTCGGCCTTGAAGCCCACGTTTGGCCTGAGGGGCCCCTGGCTGGACTCTTCCTGCCCTCCATTCACTCAGAGGATCCCCGGTACCCTACCTCAGTGCTGAGAACCTGGGTGCCTTCCCAGCTCCTGCCATCTCCTGCAGTCTGGCAGAATCGTCCATGAACCTGCCTTAGTGCAGAGCCCAGGCCAGGTGGCCTCCATTTTCTTGCCAAAATTCTCACTAGGTTCTTGGGCCCTTTGTGATTTTATTCCTCTTCCCAATTTTGGCTAGAGAAGGACCTCCTTGCTGTCTGCCCTGTGTGAGAAGGTTTGAGGTTGAGTGGGTACTCATCATCCCTCTGTCATTTTATCCATTCATGCTTTCAGTTGCTCATTGAGTATCTGAACATTTAATGAGAATCCACCATGTGCCAGACCCTGAGCTGCATGCTGAGGGTTCAGGGACGAGCAAGACTCGGACTTGTACACAAGCCGTTCTCAGGCTGGTAGAGGAGATGGACAGGCCATGACTGGAGCCCTAGCGGGGACTCTGAGCCCAGGCAGGCGGCGGTTGGGGGAGGTGCCCTGGAGGAGGGAATGCCAGTACTGGATCCTGAAAGACAAGCAGGTATCAGCAGGGTGCCAGGGCTTGGAAGGGTGTTTCAGAGAGGGGTCAGGGTACCAAGGGCATTCTGGGAACTGAGGGCTCCCGCAGGTGAAGAGCAGCCCTGCAGAGAGGGCACTCAGTCGAGGGTGCAGGGGAGCTCTGCATGAGTGGTTTTAAGTTAGGTGAGTGATATGATTAGATTTGCTCTTTTTTAAAATAAATTTATTTATTTTTGGCTGCGTTGGGTCTTCGTTGCTGCATGCGGGCTTTCTCTAGTCGCAGTGAGCGGGGGCTACTCTTCGTTGTGGTGCGCGGGCTTCTTATTGCAGTGGCTTCTCTTGTTGCGGAGCACAGGCTCTAGGCACTCGGGCTTCAGTAGGCACGCAGGCTCAGTTGCTCCGCGGCATGTGGGATCTTCCCGGACCAGAGCTCGAACCCGTGTCCCCTGCATCGGCAGGCGGATTCTTAACCACTGCACCACCACGGAAGTCCAGATTTGCTTTTTAAAATCCCTGGGGAAGTGAAGAGACTGGAGACCAGGAGGCTGTTAGGAGGCCATGATGGCATCTAGGAGGGAGATAAGAGGCCCAGGATTAAGGACTGGTCAGTGAGGATGGAGAGACTGGGCAGACTCAAGATAGAGGAGGGACTATGGCTTCGGTGTTTGTTTGGATATGGGGGGAGTCAGGGATGACCCCAGGATTTGGGCTCAGGTGCCAGGTTTGGGGGATGGAGGTGCAAGAGGAGGAGGTTTGGGGAGAAGATATCTGTTTGGGACACATGGTATTAGCCATGTGGTGGTGCTTCCAGGTAGAGGTAGATGTGCACTAGGGACTTGGTACAGTTCTAGAACCCAGGAAGAGGGCTGGGCTGGCAGCAGGTATTTTGGAGTCATCACACACGGGTCGTATTGAAGCTGTGCCAGTGGACAGAGTCAGCCAGGAAGTTGTCCTGGGGAACAGCAACAACGGGGGCAGACAGGGAAGGATCCTTGTAAGGAGCAGGGGAGGGAATGCTGGCGGGGTCTGAGCAGGGCGGGGCAGGTGTGTGTCTCTGAAGCCCAACGAAGCCCAGGGGTGAGGAGTAGCAATGGGGTCAGGCGGTGCCCAAGGCCCAGTTAAGTCAGGACGGCGGAGCATCCAGTGGCTTCACAGTGACATGCTCCCCAGTGACTGGTGGGGGGTGAACAGTGTCTAGAGTAGTGGGTGCCAGAGCCGGAATGCAGGAAGGTGCTAAGGAAAGATCCAAAAGAAGAGAAGGAGAGGCAAGTCCTGGAGGAGGTGGGAGGGGGTGGGGTCTGGGGCCCAGATGAGCTGGCCTGAGGCAGGAGGGGAGACACCTCGTCCTTTGAGACAGATGGGAAGGAGGAGAGGTTTCTTGCGGTTCTAGGTAACTGGACAGGTAGGTGGTGGCCCCACCTCTGGCTTCTGTTATCTTGCGAAGTAGGAGATGAAGTGGCTTGTCTGGGGGACAGTGGGCAGGGTGAGGGTTGAGGAGAAAGTTCTCTGTGTGAGCAAGGTGTCTAGGGAATCCCAGAAGGCGTCCCGGACAGAGCTTGGCAGAGGTTTTACACCACAAATGGAGCATGGTCTGGTGTTCGGGACCCGCGGCCGCCTTGGTATCAGTGTGGGGAAGGCAGCCAGTGGACGGCACTGGGGTTGCCATACTCTCAACGCTGCAAGTTCTCACTTCTTAGTCTGGGACTGGGACTCCCCCCTCCATGCTGCCCCCCGCCCTGGGATTAGCAGATTTGGGACTTTCAGGGTAGGCGGGTGACAGGCTGTTGGAACCTTCCCTGAGCCTCTGCGCTCTGCCCGAGCCAGAATGAGCAGGCCAGTAGAGAGTATGAGGACCACCAAAGTTTGCTGCTGGTTCCAGCAGACCCCACCCCAGCCAGGGAGTCCCTGAGAGCCCAGAGAGAACACTGCCTGGTCACTGGGGTCTCAGTGGGAAGGCAGAATTGTGTGAAGGGCTTGAATCCTGCCTCCTCCACTGACTAGCTCTGTAACCTTGGGCAAATTACTTAACCTGTCTAAGCCTTAATTTTCTCATCTGTGAATAGGGATAGTAAAAACATTGACACTTGCTGAGTGCCAGGCCCCATGCTAAGTGCTTTACGTGCATTCGATATTTCTTTCACATGTCACATCAGTCCCATCAGGTAGGTACCTCTTTTATCCTTATTTGTCAGGCACAGAGAGAGGTTAAGTAACTTGCCTGTGGTCACATAGCATGTAAGCAGATTTGCACCAGCTAGCCTGGCTCCAGAGCCCATAGCCATAACTCCTCTGTGATGCGTTCCTTGAGTACTGGCAGGATGGGAACTCAGAGCCCCTACCTTCAGGTGGTTGTGAGCGTGTACAACACTGAGGCCTCACCTGGCTCCTAAAAAGCCCTCCTAGAGTGCTTGCTATTACAATGGTAATGACTATCTCGTGCTGTGTGCCTGCAGAGGTGGAAGCCAAGGGGAACACCGACAGACTCACGCCTGAGGCGCTGAAGGGGCTGGTGAACAAGCCAGAGCTGCTTGCACTGACGGAGAGCCTCACCCCCGACCAGACAGTGGCATTCTGGATGCCTGAGTCGGAGATGGAGGCCGCGGAGCTCGAGCTGGGGGCTGGGGTACGGCTGAAAACTCGAGGCGACGGCCCCTTCCTGGGTGAGCAGTGTAGCCCTCACTGTGGCCTGATGCTCCTATATGGCCTGTGGGGGCTCCTGGCCTCCTGTCTGAGGCTTACCCACCCCTCCTGCTTCGAGTTCATGGAGCAGGCCACATCTGGCCTCCCCGTGGACAAGACCCCTTGAGATTTATTCCTGAGTCCCTGGGCAAGTGCTTTGGGGCCAATAGCCTGAACACTTTGGATCCTGGGGTGCTGCTCAATCCCGTGGTTCCTGTGGGTGACCTCTCCTATCCATTGCCTTGGGGGTCCCATCCAGCACACTCAGGCCTAGGGGACCCCAGCAGAATGCACCAGCCCCCACTATGTTTCTGCCACATGGAGAGAGGCCTTCAACTTCTCCTTTCAGATTCATTAGCCAAACTCGAGGCTGGAACAGTGACCAAGTGTAATTTCGCTGGTGATGGGAAGATGGGGGCATCCTGGACAGACAATATCATGGCCCAAAAGTCTTCAGAGGGGGCTGCAGTGGAGACCCGAGAGCAGGGGGACGGCACCGAGGACGAGGAGTGGGTAGGTCCAGGGAGATAACCGTGGACCTGGAGTTGGTGTGGATCTCCTGGCAGGAGTTTTGTATGCACTGGTTGTGGTTGGGTGTAGGACAGCAGCATAAACTTTACTCCCCAGCTTTGGTGGAATTCCTGAGAGTGTGTTAGCATCAGGAAAATTCCCTCAAGGTATGAAGGGACCTTTCTTTTTGGTGGGTCTGAACTGTGCCAATCAACAAGAGAGCCCCAAAGATTTATAAAAGCAAGGGATGGAAAGAAGGGAGCGCAGAGGGGAACCAAGGAGACTTAATTCCATTAAGGCTCCAAACATTTCTACTTCAAGTGAATACATTAGCCATGTTGAGCAGCTGAATGAGCATTTTTCCCCCCTTTGTTCTGGGCTCCCTGCCCAGAGTGGCTGGAAAATGGCTGACCTGGTCCTTAATAGTTATTTTGGCCCAAAGTTCAGCCTCCTAGTTGATCCTCAGCCTACTCACGGTTGATTTGGTATTTTGAGGTATATTTCACCTGGAGATTTGAATTGGTGTCAAAAGGCCCCAGATTGAACGTTTAAAACAAAGTCTCAGAAAAATGGGCTCTTTATCTAGGTGATGAAGATGATGATATTTGCCAGAGAAAGCAGGGGCAGATAGAGGGAGTGGATTCCCTTTTGTCTTAATAGAGTGAGTCTTGGACTAAAAAACAATTGGAGTTGCCAGGCTGGCTCCCTGGGCCAACACTAATGAGATGAGGCCAAGGCAGGTAGCCGCGGGCCCTACTGGTACCACTCATTCGAACCCTTGTTTGTCTGATGACAGTAGAAGACTTTTACGAAATGTGCTCTCTTCATGTCTCTTTACTTTACCTCTAGGACGACTGAGGTCAGTGAGAGATGGGGTGCCTCCGGAGCCCACTGTTGAGCATTTCTTCCATCAACTTTCACTCTGGAGCTCGAGAGAGCAGGTCCGCCAAGCCTTGCCTGGTTCTTCCCTACAGCCACTGTGGAATACCCTTTGAACAAGCTCTGCTAAAATCAAATGCAAGACCCTGACGTTAGACGTGGGGCCCCAGCCTGTGGCTCATGGAGGGTCCCTTCCTGGATGTGAGTCTAGCCTTCCTAGACATTTTCATGGTGGCCCTCACCCTGAGTGGCAGCCTTGTTTCTGGAGGCAGGCAGGGGGCAAGTCCCCCAGGGCAGTCAGAAGAACTGGACTTGGTTTTGGTGCAGAACTGGTGGGGAATCCCCCATCTGCATGTAGAGTGGCTCAGAGGGGAAGTTAGCGGGGCCTCCTTCTTCTGTCCTTGTTGTATTTCCTGCTTTCCTTCTGCAATTGCCCTCCTCCCCAGCACTCTGTGCCATAGCCTCTGCCCTCCTGCTCAGGCCTCCTTGTCCCCTGTGCCCTTTTCAGTCCCCAGAGCTGCCAGTTCTTTATTCCTCCTCTGGTTCTCTGCCACCCTGGGGGTTCCTGTCTCCTGACCTCCTTTGGCGGCTTTCCTGGGAATGCTCTTTTCAGGGAGGCTGAGAGCGTTCACAGGTGTGGCCAGCTGGTCTCCAACTCTCTGACTCATTCTGCCAGGCCACATTTTGGACAACACCTTTTTTCTTGTGTTGTACCTTGAGAACTTTTTACGAATGAGTAAATCTTCAGGAAGGATTCCTCTACACTGACTGTGTTATTATTAGGTATAAACTGAGCAACCTCCCTATAAGAAGAAAGCCGTATCTTTTTGGTCATGAACAGTGCCTTTCTGGGTAGTATGCCCACACCCACATCTATGAAGAGATCTGGAGTTGAAATCTACACGTCCTAAGAATGGGTAGGGACTTGGTGGAATGTGGATCCTGCTTCTCTCAGGGAAAAGAGGGGTGGTGGTAAACTAACAATTATGGAGTCCCCTAATGTGTCAAACACAGCACTAGATGCTTTCCGTGATGATAATTATAGTCTCTGACTGTTGAGTGCCTCTTGGTTCTATTACTTGTGCCAAGCACTTCCAGTATCTTACTTAATTGTCACAACAATCCCAAGAGGCACATGTGATTATTATCTCCATTTTTTTTCATATGGTTTTCATGGTTGAGGTCCCAGCGTTTATTATCAGGGTTCAAACTTTCATTTGCATTCCT